ATGTTGCTGTGACCTACTTTAGTGAATCCTATATGAAAAAATATATATGGACATGTACATATCTATATTTTTATTTTTTATATTATACATTTATACATATACATTTTTATCTTATACATTATTTTTATATTATACATTTAAAATACATCACATACACATACACTAAAATCTATTTCAGATTATATTATTAGATTAACCAAATATATTTTAAAATGCATTTATTTTAAAATGTATGGGGAAATATTACACATAGAAATGTACCATATAAAAATAAATGTATGTAAACATATGCGTCAAATACTTTTGAAAATGTATGAAAATAGCCAATATACTTGTTCACTGTTTCGAATACTTTCTGAAATGAATTCTTATTTGTGTCTTAATTGTAAATGTTGGCAAACGAACGTTTAACATGTAAAAAGCAAGTGTTGTAGGTATTGCTGTGACAATAACAAATAATAAGCACCCAGATCAAATGTAAATAAAAGACTGGCAATTATGAATTCAGTACAAATATGCTGTTATTCACTCACATGCTGGTGACCATTCAGATAAATATTCCCTTACAGATCCAAACAAACTGCTGATATTCCTGATATTCACTGATATTCATTCTAAAACTCTCTCAGTTCAAAATACTTTTCTCACAAATCCCAACAAACCAGTCATTACAGGGAAAATCAGCCCAGTAATTTATAATATGAAACCATATGCCAGTTACGACACAGTCCTCATCTTCTGCATAACTGAATGAAACCATGAACCAGAACCTGAAAGAGAGATTCAGTAATCAGCGCCCGTGATGTTCGTGACTAGCGTTGGAAGTTTCTGAAGGGTTATATGAGATTCAAAGTGGAAAAAGGTAAAAAAATTGTAAAATGTAAACCCTATAGTTTGTTTTTTTTTTGTTTTGATTGCTTGTTATGTTGCTGGCTAAATCATCATGCTTTAGTCTGGCTCCAGTAGCTGCTTAGTTTAGGCTACAGGCTCCGTTGTTGGCTATATGTGTGATTAGATGAGAAATTAAAGTTATTTAGTTACATAACATACTGCAGCTCGAGAAAGTTCACTGCTAACCAGCATAGTGAGGGTATAGTATCATGTAGCTAACATTATTAAGGAATTAGCAAGTAGGTTAGGCTGTATTTCGTCTCATTAGCTTGTAGCTGCCTTTCCCGTTTAACACATTTTTTAAAGTTAAATAAAATAAAATCAGTTTGAAACTCACTTGATTTAGTTTCAACACACATTTTTTGCTGAAAATAAACATATAAACAAATAGTTCAATGAGTAATTAAAGAAACTTAAACAGGGCAACAGGAGTCAAATTAGTTTTTGGAAGAGTAATAGCAGTTTGTGGAAGAATGGAGGGATGGGGAAGGAACAAATCAAAGGAAAAGGTGCACAGCAGTTATGGATGGGTAAAAGAGGAGAAATTATTTGGTTAACCCTAAAGGAGAAGCTTGCACTATGAGATGTAGGTCACTTTTCTGCAAAATGGACCCCACTAAAATTTTGATCCTAGTTATCCTGACTGTACTGGTAAGTTGTTTTGCATCATGGGATACATTAATATCAGAATTGAGAGATGATGACTGTCTGATACATTTTATGTACATCTGCTGATGCTGATACTGATACCAATACATTAACATTTATAAAAAGTAGAAATTGGGACTAGACATACCTGCATTGGCAAAATAACATTTTTTGGATAAATATAACATTTTATTTGAAGCAACTATGTCAGTACCGATAAATTTCTGATTTCATATCAGTACTGACATATTCCTAATTGCATCACAATGTTCCCTTGCTGTGTTAAGAAGTACTTGAAATGTAATATGATGGTCTTGCATATGGAAATGTAGCTGTTTCCATATTAGATACAGTGCTCAGTAATGCTCATTAATGTTTTCAGAGTAGGTCAAACAGTTACTGAGATTCACAGGATTAGCACTTCAGAATGTGTGAAATAATGTGTGATAAATCAAAAGTAAATAAAGCTTAACACAATAAATATATGTCTCACTTACAAGACCACCCTTTCATTTATGTAATTTCCAGTAAAGTAAAATGAGTTTTTGTTACCTACACTTCTGTAAGCAGAGCACCAGTTGGAATCTAACCTGTACTGTGGTGTGTGACAGTATTGCCACATAACTAAGCCAGTGGTAGCTTAGTTAACATGGTATGGATCCAGAAACCACAGAATAGGTTACTTTGGTTATTTTGCTTTTCTGTCCTTCCAACAGTAGGTGATCTGTTTCACTCCCTCAGATGTGGGTCTAAACTTATGTTGGTTCTTTGGATAGCCAGAACTGAACCTGTTCTGTGGTGAGCAGAGCTGTTGTAATAGCCAAGCTAATGCTGATCAGCTCTTCTTTCTTAGTTAGCAGCACAGTTGAACATTTAGCAATGCTCAGATTGATGGTTTGACATTTATTTATTGCAGATTGGAAATGATGCAACTCTGTTCTTGTATTTGGTGACTGTAATAAACTTTTTGATTATTTTGATTTTTAAATATCACAGAATGAGAAGGAAAAAAAGAGATGTAAACACCTCCATCACTTACAAGGCTTTTAAATGTGTACTTAATGGCCATTTTGACTGGAAATTAAATAAACCATGTTTTTTTCTGATTTTCGCCCAGTACTGTATAGACACATAAATCGTAGTGATTTAAACATGGTAATAATTTGTATTGCTTGCTTGAAATTTCTATTTGACTTCAAAAAGAAGGTAACTGTCTCAAACCTTAGAGCTGATCTGCTCACCCAAATAAGAGAACTTCTGAAGACAGTCTCTCTGAAGCTGATGCATCACAGAGGTGTAATTTGTCTTTAATTGATCTCTTTCATTTGTTACATCCAAAAATCTGGTCAGTCAGGTTGTTGAACTTGATCCACAGCACTGTGACGGCAGTCAGCAGGAGAACACACAGCAACCCCAGACACACTGCCAGTCTGTACAATCCTCAAAAATTAACATGAAGTAGAAACAATGTACACACTTCATGTCTTGTGAATTTGTACTTATAAATATGAATTAAATCTCTAAATCTCTGTATTCATAAGCATTAACAAAGATATATATATACACACACACACACACACACACACACACACACACAATCTAAGCCACTTATCCTTCTGGGTTGTGGGGTGCTGGAGCCTATCCCTGTGCGCATTGGAACAACTTGAAATAAAACAATGTTAATGTCTGTAAAAATAATTCAAAGATACTAATTAACAGTATGCTAAAAGGTGCTGTAAAAGCTAAGTGTGGCGCTAGAGGAGTTCTAAAATCATTCAGCACCCCTGTTAGCACTGTTCACTGGCTTTTTCATATAAGTTATAATAATGTAATTAGGCTACAAGTTCATAAATCTTTTTACAGCATTTAGCAGACGAACTTATCCAGAGCAACTTCATCTTCCACAAGATCTGCATACACAGCAGTAATGTGTGTATCTACACAGGCCTTCACTGAGAGCACAGTAGACTGCTGATACAGGATCAGTCCTGGTTTAGTCTGCTCTAACTAACACTAACTGAGAGTAGATTCTCTCGCCAGATTGTTGAGGTGGATTATTTCTGGTTAGCTGTTTAAATATGGATCAAACACAAAACAGCTTTACAGAAAAATCCAGAACCAAGCCCCCATAAACAAGCCAAAAGTGACAGTGGCAAGAAAAATCTCCCTAAGAGGAAGAAGAAGAAACCTTGAGAGGAACCAAGACTCAAAAGGGGAACCCACCCTCCTCTGGTCAGCACCGGATAGGAAAACAATAACAAAAGATCAAAATGAACAGAGATTAAGGTTTGACCATCAGTATAAGATACAGAAAAGAGGAAAAGCAGGTGAAGCAATGCTGCTGATGAAATAGTTTGTGCAGCAGCTTTATCATCAGGAGGGTCAGTGGCGAGCAGGTGAGGTTTGCACAGTGTTGTACATGTCAAGTGAAGTCAGTCAGTAGTATTTTTCATCAGTTACAGCACTGCTTCAGTGCCCACAAGAGTGTTATATCACCATAGCCTGTGGTCATCTTTACAGCTGCAGGGACCACCACAACACCACAATGGTTCTGTAATAAACCCTCTTTTTTGTGTGGTCTCAGACACTGGATTACATTGCTAGTCACATGACTGGTCACTAGCAAAACCAGCATATGTGGTGTTTTGGATACTGGCATGCTGGTCAACCACTAAAGTACAGCGTGGTTCTCAGAAGCGGTCTGTGTTTGGTGTCACACCATATTGATCCACTAGAGGGCACCAGTGATCAGTTTAAGAGACGACCCAACACTGATTAGTTATATACACGTTGCTGTTTAATTTACCAGGCAGGCCAAACTAAAAGGCAAATGTTACTTATTGTTTGTCCCTGAACTGAATCCAGTATGATCAGTTCTCCAAACCCAACTCTAAAAGTCTGCATAAGAATATCCTGATAAGAGGATAAAGAGACCTGCAGAAATGTTGGCAGCTCAACAACAAAAATGAACCATCTACTAACAAACCATCTTATCCACAGTGGAGTAGAACCCCATAATGACTCTGTGAGGACATTAACAAAAGGGTGAAATATGATTAAAACTATAGGAAAACTTGCTTCTGCAGATGAACCATGTGACTCACACATTAAGGTCATCAGTTTCACATATGTGGTCAGCATCTCTATCTAACACAATCTCCTTAATGTAGACCAGGCTATTTACTAGTACAGCTGAGCACAGAAAGTCTGCAGTGACTTCCTGCCAGCAGCAGCATTAAGCTGACAGGCAGTGCATACAGAGTCACTTTTAGAGTTTTCACAGTCATTAAAGTTAACATCAGTCAGAGCAGAATGGAAATGATGGAGGATATTCATGCAAATTCAGTAATGACTGCAGACAACAGAAGAAATTCAGACAGCAGTGGACATTCATATGAAGACATTTATGCCGATAAGGATGACTTAGAAACGCTTCAGACCAGGAGCAACAAAAGGAACTCTGGTACAGTAACTGCAGAGAATATACACATTGAAAATGCTGAGAAAGTGAACAAAACGTCTCACTCACATACAGAAGATCCTCAGTACAGAGGTAAGTTTAAGTCTTTATTCGGTTTTTCACTTATCCATGTATTAATATGCTAAATAATGCATTAGGCATATGCCAGCACAAGTAAAGACACAAAAACAATGAAAAAGATGTGAAGTTACTAAATGAACAGCATCGCTTCATCAAAAACACTAAAACAAGTCAAATGGAATCATTAAAAGGGAATTCCACTAATTCCTCCTGTAACTGTTGAGATGTAAGAAAAGTCATGCAGAGTGGTTTGATGCGAAACGGTTCATTGTAGAGAAACATTTGACTCATTTCTTTACAGTGGTGCTGATAGGAACCTGGAGTCATGTCTACAACACAAATATAGCCACTTTATTTACAATCCAAAACCAACTGTTAACCTACACGTGTCTTCTGCCCTGCATGTACCTCTCCACCATGAATGTATTTTAAAATGATATTTTAGGCCAACAAGCTTATTTCAAAACTTAAAACAAGAGGTATCAGACAGCATAATCATAACCATTTAATGTAACAGGTTTTTTTTTTTTATTATTACATTTTTATTAAGACACTTGTTCACACATACAAATGCATTTGGAAACGCGGAGGGACCATATGAGTGGAAAATCTAGGAATGATTATACAACTTAAAGCACATTTATAAATTTTTTCTGTCTTTTGGTGTGAATCAAAAGTTAGCTTCTCAAGAGGAAGTAAAGATGTTATTTGAGAAAACCACAAATTGAGAGATGGGACCTGAGGAGAAGACCAGAGAAGTAAAATACATTCTTTACAATGTAAACCAGCAGAATAAAGATCTGTCTGGCATTTTAGTGAATTGTAACTCCTAATTGGCCACAGAGCAGATATAATTTAGGGCACACTGTAAACTGTATATGAAGAATTGCTTGTATAGCTGAATGCACCCCTTCCCAAAATGTTTTGATTTTATCGCAGGTCCAGAAGGAGTGAATAAAGGTGCCTTTATATAATGGACACTTAAAACATAGGTCAGATCGTTCTGGAAATATCCTATGTAAGCGCAATGATGTGAGATGAAATCTGTTAATGAGCTTAAAATTAAGTGTGTATATTAATTGAAGTGCATTTTGGGTTCAGATTTGAACAGATAGAGAGCCAAACATCCTGATCGACAGCCTCCTCAAGGCCTCTTTCCCAGATATCTTTAAGACTTACTAAAGAGAACACGCAGATAACATGGCATAAACCTTTGAAATCAAGCCTTTTAACTCGTGGTGCTTAGTCAGAAATAGTTCAATCTCTGTCATGTCCATTCGCAGCATTCCAATATCCATCTGAGCTTTAATGAAGTGTCTAATTTGGAGATATCTAAAAAAAGTCAGTCTTTAGTAACTTATACTTGTTTAACATCTTTGAAAAAGACATCATAACACCCTCTGAAAACAAACAAGAGATCTGTGAAATACCAAGTTTACTCCAATTTAAAAGTCCAATGTTAGATAACTGAGAAGGAAAGTCCAGATTGGATGCAATCGGAGAGAGCAAGGAAAGGCCTTTAGGTACCTTGAAAAAGTTTTTTACTTCTTTCCAGGCCAATAATGTATTGGATACGACAAAGGACCCAGAAATGTTTTGTAATTTCTCCACATTACGTATGAAAGGTAAAAACTGTATAGATAAAGGAGAGCAGGCCTTGGATTCCATATGGACCCAGCGTGAGTCAGACCTGTTAGCACACCAGCTGATTATGTGTTTCATCCGAGCTGACCAGTAGTAAAACTGTAGGTTTGGCATGTCCGCTCCCCCTTTGTCTTTGGGTTTCATTAAATTCAGTAATTTAATTCTGGGTTTTCCGTTGTTCCAAATAAACCTTGAGAAGTGCCCATTCAAATCTTCAAAAAATGAACTAGGTAAATAGCAAGGAAGACACTGAAATAAATAAAGTAAGCGGGGTAAAATATTCATTCTCAAGGCATTTATTCGACCAAAAAAAGAGATTGGGAGAGAGCGCCTGTTGGCTAAGTCAGTCCTCAATTTGTTTACATGAGGTAAAAGGTTCAATGACTAATGAGAAAAGAAGGGGAGAAAGGGGACATCCCTGCCTTGTCCCTTGTGCAACGCATATTACTTGCGATATTAATCCATTAGAAGAAACTGTGGCTTGCAGATCTGAGTATAAATGTTTAACCATTTTACTAAAATGTAAGCCAAAATTAAACTTTTCAAGTGTAGCGAACAGGAAGTTCCATTCATCGCGATCAAAAGCCTTTTCGGCATCTAATGAAACAATAACAGAAGGTTTTTTGTGTGTGTTAACGAAATCTACAATATTCAAAAGCCGACGTATATTGTCAGAACCATATCGGTTTTTCACAAATCCTGTTTGGTCGGGATTGATTAATTTTGGTAACACAGCTTCCAGTCTGCGAGCGAGAGCTTTAGCAACAATTTTGTGGTCTGTATTTAATAAACTTATCGGCCTATATGATGAACAGCTCTGAGGGTCTTTGCCTTTTTTTTAAAAGTAAACAAATCGAGGTTGAAGCTCTGGCCAAAAAGCCCTATAGAATTCAGGTGGAAAGCCATCTGAGCCAGGCGATTTGTGAGATGGCATAGACCGCAGTGCCTCATAAATTTCTTCTGGAGTAAAAGGGGCATTGAGGTTGTCCAATGTAACAGGTTTCTGTGATGTAGCTTTTAGAGACATTAAATTCTCCAGACATCTGGTTCCTATCACCATCACTGTGAACATTTCTGAGCACTACTTAATAGTCTCTCTTCACTCTCAGCACCCAGCCACCGTAAATCCTTTATATCAATATCACTCAGCGTTGCCAACAAACAGAACAAATACGGTTGCCCAGATTCTTATCTTTGAAAGTCAAATGTTTGTTACTGGAGCAGAACCACTGGCTACTTGGGCTGTTTTGTAGCTTGGGGTCCAATATCGAGGCCTTGAAGTTACATTTTCTATTAGTTTGTCTTTAGGAAACAAAGTCAGACCCTTACACTGGACCTTCTTTTCCAACAGTGTGGCAGATAAAGTTTTCTAGAGATGGACAGAAGACATTTTGACTTTCACTAGAACTTTTCCAACACCCAGTCCTGTGTGTAAATGCTGTGCATCACCCTGAGCATTTATGTCCATCTATACTGTCCAAATATAACACTGAACCAAAGACTGTGTGCTTTCATTTCCACTTTCATTGTACAGCTGTTTCTATGTGCTTATGGGATAAATACAATGACATCAAATGAATTTCTTCATCATGCTACATTAATGGAGAGTCACTAGGTTTTAGCCATTCTGTCAGTCAGAACAATACAAGTAGTCCTTGCTTTAGCTCTCATGCTCTGTGCACTAAACATGTTCTGTGGTGAGCAGAGCTGTTATCATGCTATTTAGGCTAATGCTAACCAGCTTCTCTTTCCTAGCAGCACTGTTTAACATTTATCAACTGTTAGATTAGGAGAAGCTGGATTGCGTAAGCTTAACTAGCACAATGACAGCTCTGCTCACAACAGAACATGTTTACTTCTGTCTTATGAAAGCACCAACACAAGTTTAGATGATAATAACTCAATGTGAGGGAGTGAAGTTGAGCAACTAGTGTTGAAGGGACAGAAAGAAATCTAAAACTTTGTCAATTAGTACTCCAATTTGTTAAGACTTAATTAAGCCTAGCTCTGGAGGCCTCTATATTTTTAGTGGTTTCCACTCTGTAGCACACTTAATTCAACTCCTCAGCCAATCTAGGAGCTCTTCATGCTGGGAGGAGGCAAAAACTCAAATGATGGCTTCTCTTTCTCCTGTAACACAAGCTCTCCACATTGCATCTAGTTGCCCCTTCCGCTGCTGTAGCTTTTGTTAAGAACTGACCAAAACGTGACCACAACAAAACACTTTTTATGCTTGCTGTGAATTACTGCCAGGAATAACAGTCATGCAGACAGAGAGGAAATGCGTTTCTCACACATTGTACAGTGCATGCTTATTGCTCAACACCCAGCACATTGACTGTACTGGCAGTGGAACGGTTGTATTAAAAAAAAAAACACTGTTAAAAAGCAGCACAAAGCAATAGCATGTATAGCAGCCGTATTAATGAGGTAAGTACGAATATAAGAATTTTACATAACATGCTGTTTTAACATGATGTGTAGGAGCAGGTTATTAAAGCACTCTGCTGTACCTGTCTGTGAGCACACAAGACATCTTGTTACTACTGCTTCAAATAAAATTGTCAGGGGTGCCATGCCATTTTTTCTAAAAAGTAGCAGCACCACCATATTAATAAATATGAGCAAATTACATATTTTTCCATTTTTACTTAATGGGTCCACAGGACTTGTTTCCAAAATGACTCTGGATTATCTACATGTTGTTAAGCGTACTTCAGACTCTGACTTTTGTGATGACATTGAAGGTTTCTTTCTGATGACTCTTCAATGCAGATCATATTTGTCTAAGGCCCATGGGCCGAGTCAGGCCTGTGGCACAATCCTATTTGGCCCACAAAATGATTTTAATTTTCTATTAATGTTAGCCCATTTTACCATGAGCTGCACTACAGTTCCCAGCATGCACTGCAATACGCTAGTCAAAGCAGTGCTGCAGAGCAGAACAGAGCACCACCACTCCTGTGTCAGCTCAGAATGGTTACCACTGTATTACACTACCTTTCCTTTTAACCGATCTAGCATGATGTTCTAACACATGCAGAATGTTTCTTGCTGTTGTCATGTTGAAATAATCATGGACGTTCCTGAAAAAGACAGCATCTAAAAGGCAGCATATGCTGCTCCAAAATGTGTAGATATCTTTCAGCATTAATGGTGCTTTTACAGATGTTGAAGTTGATGTACAGCAGTTGACCATGCCATAGGCACTAATACACCCCCATACTATGACAGACCCTGGCGTTTGAACTTTATACTGGTAACAATCTGGATGACCCAGAAAACACAGAATCCTTTATTTCCATAAACGATCTGAGGTTGATTTGTCAGACCACAATACACATTTTCACTGTGCACTGAGCATATAGTACAGGCTTAATCCTTGTGTTGTCTTAAGGTCAAAAATTACCCGCCACTATGTTTAACAGCAGAGAAAACCCCACAAATGACCTTTTTTCAACTTTCAGCATTGATTTTGTTGGTATTTTCATGAAAGCTGTACACCAACAGGGTACAAAGACTGTCTTAGGGTCATTTTTTGGCAGTTAAAAAATCATTTACATGCCACAAAGAACAAGAGGCCTGGGTCACAGTGGTCAAAAGTCACCTCAGTGCTAGGCAAAGGGAAGGCATCTGCTTAGGCTCACTTCATGTTTTGATTTTTAAATCTCATAACTCTCTATGTTGTTGTTTTGTTATATGGTGTCATTCAGAGATGGTTGGTTTCTCCTGAATCTTGATTCTTCTCAAGGTTTATTGTTTCAGGAAATTTTCCTGCCACTGTTGCCTTTGGTTTACTCACTAGGGGGCTTGGACCCAGATTTCTCTAAAGCTGCTTTATGATGACCTAAATTATAAAATTAACTATAAAAATTAATATCGATTTCATCTGATAACAGAAACAGGAAACAGTCTGTTAATGTAAGTCTGAAGTAATTCTGGACCATATATATTGGTCCACTTATCATAAAATGCTTATACAATATGAACTAGCACAGCTGACGCTTTCAAGCAGTGTAAAATAATAAACAACTAAAAATAATAAAAATGAAGAGGTGTCCGCATAGAAGAGACTTCATGAAGATTATGTGATCATTTTCAGACCAAAAAGATATACACTTTTTAACCTAATGAAAATAATGAACAATGAATTCATTCACTTAATTAAGAACATATTAATTTTCAGAAATGAACACCACAGGCTACAGATGCTACAGACTGACTGCAGTGTGTCTGGGGCTGCTGTGTGTTCTCCTGCTGACTGTCATCACAATGCTGTGGATAAAGCTCGCTGCACAGAGAGACCAGTTACAGACCAGTTACACCAACCTGACTACAGAGAGAGACCAGTTACAGACCAGTTACAACATGCTGACTACAGAGAGAGACCAGTTACAGACCAGTTACAAGACGCTGACTATAGAGAGAGACCAGTTACAGACCAGTTACAACACGCTGACTGTAGAGAGAGACGAGTTACAGACCAGTTACACCAACCTGACTATGGAGAGAGACCAGTTGCAGACAAGTTACACCAACCTGACTATGGAGAGAGACCAGATACAGACCAGTTACAACACCCTGACTGTAGAGAGAGACCAGTTACAGAGCAGTTACAAGACGCTGACTATAGAGAGAGACCAGTTACAGAGCAGTTACAAGACGCTGACTGTAGAGAGAGACCAGTTACAGAGCAGTTACAAGACGCTGACTGTAGAGAGAGACCAGTTACAGAGCAGTTACAAGACGCTGACTATAGAGAGAGACCAGTTACAGACCAGTTACAACACCCTGACTGTAGAGAGAGACCAGTTACAGACCAGTTACACCAACCTGACTACAGAGAGAGACCAGTTACAGACCAGTTACATCAATCTGACTATAGAGAGAGACCAGTTACAGACCAGTTACAATATGCTGACTATAGAGAGAGACCAGTTACAGACCAGTTACAACACGCTGACTGTAGAGAGAGACCAGTTACAGAGCAGTTACAACACCCTGACTGTAGAGAGAGACCAGTTACAGACCAGTTACACCAACCTGACTATAGAGAGAGACCAGTTACAGACCAGTTACATCAATCTGACTATAGAGAGAGACCAGTTACAGAGCAGTTACAACATGCTGACTACAGAGACCAGTTACAGAGCAGTTATAACATGCTGACTACAGAGAGAGACCAGTTACAGACCAGTTACAAGACGCTGACTATAGAGAGAGACCAGTTACAGACCAGTTACAACATGCTGACTGTAGAGAGAGACCAGTTACAGAGCAGTTACAACACCCTGACTGTAGAGAGAGACCAGTTACAGACCAGTTACAAGACGCTGACTATAGAGAGAGACCAGTTACAGACCAGTTACAACATGCTGACTGTAGAGAGAGACCAGTTACAGACCAGTTACAACACCCTGACTGTAGAGAGAGACCAGTTACAGACCAGTTACAAGACGCTGACTATAGAGAGAGACCAGTTACAGACCAGTTACAACACCCTGACTGTAGAGAGAGACCAGTTACAGACCAGTTACAAGACGCTGACTATAGAGAGAGACCAGTTACAGACCAGTTACAACATGCTGACTGTAGAGAGAGACCAGTTACAGACCAGTTACAACACCCTGACTGTAGAGAGAGACCAGTTACAGACCAGTTACAAGACGCTGACTATAGAGAGAGACCAGTTACAGACTAGTTACAACATGCTGACTGTAGAGAGAGACCAGTTACAGACCAGTTACAAGACGCTGACTATAGAGAGAGACCAGTTAAAGACCAGTTACACCAGTGTTACTAAACTGGGTGAATAAGAACCATCACTTATTCTTTTTTTAGAAAAACAAAATTGTGAACTTGTTTACAATCACTGGTCACTATACTATATATCTCTAAACTGCAAGTTCACAGAACTGAAATGCTACTTGCATTAAATGCAGTGTTTAAAGGAAAACAACTTGAAATATTTGGTTAGTCTCCAGTTTGTATAGCAAGTATGCTACCTGCAAGTCGCAGGAGAATATCACTGCAGTAATTAATGCGCATGACAAAAACAAAACTGACAGGTTTCCATTCTTTGGCTTTGTATGTCGCGAAGTCTTGCCTTTTTCTGTGCATATCTGAGCTGTGTTCATTGTTATTCTCGCTCCATTTTAATAAAATTTTTGTTTATTTATTTATAATAGCTTGTGTACTGAATCCTGGCTATAACTACAAATGTTTGAAGCCCCCAAACAAAGCTGCTCAGCGTGTGTTTTCTGCCTCTCATTCATTACTCAAATTACAGAACAGAGGTGTTTTGGTTCCAATATCTGTGACAGTATATCTGACTGTGTTTGTTTTCAATGCATAGTGAAAGAACTGCAGCAGAATTGGACGATTTTCCAGTCCAGTCTGTACTACATCTCTACTGAGCAAAAAACCTGGGATGAGGGACAACAATACTGCAGAGACAGAGGAGCAGACCTGGTGATCATAAACAGCAGAGAAGAACAGGTGAATAAGTAGCAAACATACAGTAATAGATCCTTTTCACATTTCCTGCTCACTGCTTCAGCTCTGAAGTAGTTATATTCCCAACAAATGTCACAGTCAGTGAGGCTGTATGAGGAGTGAGGCGTTTTCAATTAAAATGAAACAGTAATGTCTTCCAGTGATACTTCAACAAGACAATATACACATAATAAACAGAACAGAAGAGATCTTGTGTAGAAGACAGTGAGTGCCCCATAATGTTACTGATAACTGTTAGCTTTAGCTTTAGCACTTCTGAAAGCTGCACTCCTCCCTCATCAATGCCTCCTGCTCATCAGACATGAAAATCCATTCAACCCACAATATCTAAAAATCTCTTTGCTTTTTATGACCAAGACAGATTTATACTTCAATAATAAAGCATGTTTTTAAATGTACTCCTCTGTGTGCTTCAGCTAAATGTGCAGCTTTAAGGTGTTTTGTCACGGCTGCCCTCAGTGACAAAACTCCACACAAAAAGCCATAACTGTGGTTTAATCGATTTCAAACCAGCACGTGATCATTCACATCTGACCAGTATGACTCAATACGTAGGTTAAACAAGTCTAATCAGTTAATGTTACCATGTAGGACTTGACATTTATGTGTCTTCAGCATTCCATTTCATATAATTCTCCAAATCGTGCTGCAAAGATGAACCGCGATGTATTTTGATGGTCTGACACTTTTCAAATTACCTGAATTCATGCTGACTGTAATGTGTGCTCAAACAACAACAACAACAACAACAACAACAACAACAACAATAATAATAATAATAATAATATTAATACATTTTATTTATATACCACCATTTCAGCTCCAGCCCCATCAACATCTCTACATTTTACTGTAAATGATTTTGGCTCTAATGATCCTCAACTTTATGACAACTCAACAGACGTTTGTAGAACATCTCAGCAAGAGCAAAGACGCTGGGGTTTCTATTGGCCTGACTGACCGTGAGAAAGAAGGAGTTTGGAAATGGGTGGACGGCTCAGCACTGACCACTGCGTAAGAGATCACTGAATTATTATACATTCATGAGATTTTATTCATTACTCAATGTGTTCAATACACATAGACCTTCTCTATGTTGTTTTTTCCAGGTACTGGGACAGCGGAAATGACTTTTTAGACAGTGAGGACTGTGTTGTAAACGGATATTCTGGAGAAGAAAATTGGTACGACAGACCATGTAATGAACCTTATTACTGGATGTGTGAGATAAAGTTCCTCCAGTGACTTCATAGTCAGACAGTGTTCAGTATATGAATCAAAGGAAGCTTCTCTCCTGTGTAATAATATGTTCCTGTGTTGATATATTTGCCATTCATATGTTCTCAAAGTGCCTTTTAACCTTTTAAGTGTTAAGTGCAGTTAGATGTGCACATTATTTTCTCAGTTTATTGATGACATTTGACATTTTTTACGAAGGTTGTCTGTCCCGACACTGCACAGCTCAAAAATTGACTATAAATTATTTGGAGTAGTTGTTGTTGGCTGTTGGTGATTCAGTAGTTTATAGTAGTTTATACAACTCTGTTTCCAAAAAAAGTTAAAACACTGTACAAATTGTGAATAAAAGCCGAATGCAATTATGTGCAAATCATTTAAACCCCATATTTAACTGAAAAAACCCCACAAAGACCGCTTATCAAATGTTGAAACTGAGAAATGTTATTGTTTTTTAAAATACGTGCACATTTTGAACTTGACACCAGCAACACATTTCAAACAGGGTTGTACTCTTATATTTATAATGGTGTGTATTTGTCTGTTGAGGATGAAGGAGGTTTATGTGTTTATGATTTTTTATTGCTTCTCAAGAGTTTTAATTCAAACAGATGTTTTCATGTAAATTCTTGCAGTCATTTTGAAATAGTTGACCTGTCTTTAGTGTCATTCTTCAGACTTGTCTTCATTACTGCATGCTGTTGCTGTAAATTAACTGTATTTGTTTAATATGTTTAAAATACTTTGTAACCAAATTTTAAGCATTAATAAATAGTTAACAAGCCATCTAATAATCACTTCTGAAGACTTCTTAAGATGACGTTATTATAAAGTAATCATGTTACAGTCGTATGACATGTTTGGTGATTTTCTAAGTGAAATTAAGTTAACACACCCTCTACAGAGAACACACTTAAATATGTCAGTGTTCTGCTAATTTTAGAGCATATTTTTTTTAGTAATTTGTGTTTAAACATCAGAAAAATACAACATAAACTATTAAAGGTGCCATACGTTTTGCACAGGCCACATTTTATGCTTTATTAGTACTTATTTTACATCAGTAATCATTATCATTTAGATGTTTGAACAACATATGAAGACCCTGATTAGACTGTTATTCTGCTGCTGTTGTTCTAATAGGCAGTTAAATGTGAGGTAAGTAAAAATGTGTATATGGTGTTATAATGGTCGTCTCACTTCAAAAGCACTTTACTGAAATGTTGAGAAGAGGTCAGAGAGCTTGGACTGGTCTAAGAAACACAGAGAGAGTAGGGAAATGGGTGGACGACTCAGCAGTGACCAGGTAAGAGATCACTGAACTGAACTCTGTTGATGATGCAGTTGCTGAGTCAGATTCATAAAAGTCAGTAAAACCAGCTCTGTCACTCAAAATGTACAGCGGGGTCAATAAGAGCTGTTCATGGAGTCACTGTGGTGGTGATTAGTGCTGTCGTCTCTTTAACGCTGTATGTCCATCTCTGTCCTGGTCTGAGGGCACGGTGCCCCAGGAGAACTTTTAATGCCCCCAATATATGTTCATCATAAACTTTTAGAGTAGCAATAGATGTTATAATAATAATAATAATAATAATAATTATTATTATTATTATTATTATTAGTAGTAGTAGTAGTAGTAGTGTGTGTGAAGTATTTTTACAATTAGAAATTAAATTAAATGAACTTCTACTGAACTGAAATTCTAATACCCATGTTGCCATTTTAGCTTTTATTTCCCAATTTTTATCTCAAAAATTCACTTTACACATGTAAATATTAAACTTCAACTAGTAAATATTTAAAGCTCACCAAAAACCTGGTGTCCTTCCTTCTTTCTACCTTTCCATCCTCTGTGGCTTTTATCTTTCTGTCTAAAGCAAAAAGTCAAAGAATGTCAGAGAAAGAAGAAAAATAAAATGATCTTGTGCTACAAATGATCTTAAAATTGATAAATATTCCTTTGATTTACACTATTGTGTCTCAATTTAAGAAACATTTAGTATGTAGTCCTAGCATGAGTGTGATCTGATGTCATCATCATCATCATCATCATCATAATAATAATAATAATAATAATAATAATCTAAAATGAGCCAAAACTGACATATGGATCTAATTTTAAACATTTTCTAGGTACAATATTTCTTGAGATGAGAATGTCTGAAGAGGCTTCAATCACAACTCTGGAGAAACTTTACTTTTAAATCAACACTGTAGAACCAAAAATAAGATCTATTAATTTCAGGATTTAGATGAATCAGCCAGCCTGAAAAGTTTTTTAGCTCTTCACTCTTAAAAAAAGATCTTCAAGGGTTCTTTAGTAAAGATAAAAGGTACTATATACAACCACGAACACACAAAGAACCATCTGCATGCTGAAAGGGTTCTTTGCATGGTGAAACGGTTCTTCAGACTGATGGAGAACATGTTGTAGACAGTTCTATATGGAACCTTTTTAAAAAGGGTTCTATGTAGTTCCATAAAGAGTTCTGCTATTGTTATAAGACTGTTATTACACTGTAACAATTTACAAGATTTTCTGGCTTCTCAAGATTTCATTTGTTGCAGTGTCAGACTTATGCAGACTGAAGATTCTCCACAGGGGGCGCTGTGACAACCAAACAGGGCTCTTTATGCTCTGTACAGTGTGAGGGACTGAAGAGAGTCTTAGGCCTCAGCAGCCTGAGGTTAATATGAGCACTGAGCTGTGTGTTCAGTACAGCAGTACAGCTCACTTATACTAAGTAGAGATTATGAGTGATTTATCACTAATTTATCACCACATATGTTGTTCAAACATCTAAATGATTAATGATTACTGATATAAAATAAGTACTAATAAAACACAAGAAGTGGTCTGTGAAAAAATTATGGCACCTTTAATAGTTTATGTTGTATTTTTCTAACAGATTTAAACACAAATAACTAGAAATTGTGCAGAACAGTGACATATTTAAGTGTGTTCTCTGTAGAGGGTGTGTTAACTTAATTTCACTTTCAGAAATTTCAGAAAATCCCCAGACATGTCATCTGACCATGTGTTGAAACATTTGCATATAACTGTAACATGATTACTTTATAATAACATCATCTTAAGAAGTCTTCAGAAGTCATTATTCGATGGCATTTAACTATTTATTAATGATTAAAATCTGGTTACAAAGTATTTTAAACATATAAAACAAATACAGTTACTGTACAGCAACAGCATGCAGTAATGAAGACAAGTGAGGACAAGTGAGCAAGAATTTACATGAAAATATCTATTTGAATGAAAACCTTTGAGAAGCAACAAGGAATCATAAACACATAGACCTCCTTCATCATCAACAACAGACAAATACACACTATTATAACTATAATAGTACAAAATTCAAATTCAAAATGGGCGTATATTAAAAAAACAGTTTTCTCAGTTTCAACATTTGATTTGTGGTCTTTGTTTTTCAATTAAATATGGGGTTTAAATGATTTGCACATAATTGCATTCGGTTTTTATTTACATTTTGCACAGCGTCCCAACTTTGTATAAACTACTATAAACTACTGAATCCCTAACAGGCAACAACAACTACTCCAAATATATTATAGTCAATTTTCAAGCTGTGCAGTTTTGAAACAGCCTACCTTGGTATAAAATGTCAAATCAAGAAGCTGAGAGCAAATTATGCACATCTAACTGCATTAAATAATAGGTTAAAATAACAACCAAATTAACCTCATAGATTACAGTAACATGTATATAAGGCACTTGAGAACACATGAATGGCAAACATCAACACAGGTACATATTATTACACAGGAGAGAAGCTTCCTTTGATTCATATACTGAACACTGTCTGACTATGAAGTCACTGGAGGAACTTTATCTCACAGATCCAATAATAAGGTTCATTACATGGTCTGTCGTACCAATTTTCCCATCCAGAATATCTGTCTACAACACAGTCGTCATCCTCTGAAAATTTGTTTCCGCTGCTCCAGTACCTGAAACAACACAGAGAAGGTCTGTATGTATTCAACACATTGATTCATGGAATAAAATCTCATGAATGTATAATAATTCAGTGATCTCTTACGCAGTGGTCAGTGCTGAGCCGTCCACCCATTTCCAATCTCCTTCTTTCCCACGGTCAGTCAGGCCAATAAAAACCCCAGCATTCTCTCTTTTGCTCATATTTTCTACAAACTCCTGTTGAGGTGTCAGAAAGTTGAGAATCATTAGAGCTAATATTTTACAGCTAATGTGTAGCCAGGATTATTGATTATTCGTTGATACGTCCATCGGTGCAGTTTAATCAAGACAAATGGCAAATTCAAGTTTTCAGGCAAATAAAAACCACCACACATGGGACTTATTCTTATACTGTTGAAGTATCACTGGAAGCCATTACTGTTTAATTTTAATTGAAAATGCCTCCCTCCTCATACAGCCTCACTGACTGTGACATTTGTTGGGAACATAATTACTTCAGAGCTGAAGCAGCGAGCTGGAAATGTGAAAAGGATCTATTACTGTATATTTGCTACTTATTCACCTGTTCTTCTCTGCTGTTTATGATCACCAGGTCTGCTCCTCGGTCTCTGCAGTATCGTCGTCCCTCATCCCAGGTTTTTTTCTCAGTAGAGATGTAATAAATACTGGACTGGAAAATCTTCCAATTCTGCTGCAGTTCTTTTACTATGCATTGAAAACATAAACACAGTCAGATATATTTTCACAGATGCTGGAACCAAAAGACCTCTGTTCTGTAATTTGAGTAATGAATAAAAGGTGTAGGCAGAAAACACACACTGAGCAGCTTTGTTTGAGGGCTTCAAACATTTGTAGTCATAGCCAGGATTCAGTACATAAGCAATTATAATAACTAAATAAATAAATAAATAAATAATTAACTTTTTTAGTAAATGAAGTGAGGGACAAACACAAGAAAACCAAGAATAACCATGAACACAGCTCAGACATGCACAACAAAAAAGGCAAAACTTGAATGGAGAATGGAGTATAC